AGGGAAAGGCTGTAGATATTGTCTACCTAGACTTTAGTAAAGCCTTTGACAGCATTTCCCAGAGCATTCTCCTGGAAAAAATGGCTGCTCATGGCTTGGATGGATGTACTCTTTGCCAGGTAAAAAACTGGCTGGATGGCCAAGCCCAAGGAGTGGTGGTGAATGGAGTTAAACCCAGTTGGTGGGCGATCACAAATGGTGTTCCCCAGGGCTCAGCATTGGGGCCAGTTCTGTTTGATAACTTTATCAATGATCTGGATGAGGGAATCTAGGCCACCTTCAGTAAGTTTGCAGACAACCCCAAGTTGGGCAGGAGTGTGGATCTGCTTCAGGGTGGGAAGGCTCTACAGAGGGATCTGAACAGGCTAGATCGATGGGCCAAGGCCAACTGTATGAGATTCAACAGGGATAAGTGCTGGGTCCTGCACTTGGGTGACTACAACCCCATGCAGCGCTACAGGCTTGGGGAAGAGTGGTTGGAAAGCTGCTCAGTGGAAAAGGACCTGGGGATGTTAGTCAACAGCTGGCTGAATATGAGCCAGCAGCGTGCCCAGGTGGCCAAGATGGCCAATGGCATCCTGGCTTGTGTCAGAAATAGTGTGGCCAGCAGGACTAGGGAAGTGATTTTCCCCTGTACTTGGCACTGGTGAGGCTGCACCTCGAATCCTGTCTTCAGTTTGGGACCCAAGACAGACCTTGAGGTGCTGGAGCGTGTCCAGAGAAGGGCAACGAAGCTGGTGAAGGGTCTGGAGCACAAGTCTTCTGAGGAGCGGCTGAGGGAGCTGCGGTTGTTTAGACTGGAGAAAAGGAGGTTGAGGGGAGACCTTATCACTCTCTACAACCACCTGAAAGGGGGTTGTAGCAAGGTGGGGGCCAGCCTCTTCTCCCAAGTAACAAGCAATAGGACAAGAGGAAATAGCCTCAAGTTGTGCCAGGGGAGGTTCAGACTTGATATTAGGAAAAATATCTTCACTGAAAGGGTTGTCAAGCATTGGACTAGGCTGCCCAGGGAAGTGGTGGAGTCACCATCCCTGGAGGTATTTAAAAGACATGTAGATGTAGCACTTAGGGACATGATTTAGTGGTAGGCTTGGCAGTGTTGGGTTGACAGTTGGTCCTGATGATCTTAAGGCTCTTTTCTAACCTAAATGATTCTATGGTTCTGTGATTCTAGGTATCAGGGTACTTTTGGGAACTCTTTGAGGAACTACCAGGTGCTATCCAGGTGCAGCCAGGGGTAGCAGTGGGGACACACTGCCCCAGGGGATAAAGGCCCCCATCTGCTGACCTGACCTGCAATCCAGGGAGGTTTGCTGCTGGCCTGGGGCTTGGATCAGGGATATTGTGGACGCATACCAAACTAAATCTAAGTGGCAAATCAAATGAAGCGAAGGTAGCAGACTTGCATGAATGACAAAGGAGCTCCTGAGTAATGTCAGAAATTAAAAGGAACCAAAAAACAGGTGGAAGCAGGAACAGGTGACCCACAGAACTATAGAGACAATGTCCAAACATGCAAGGATGGGCTTAGGAAGCCAAAGCCTCCCTGGAGTCGAATCGAGCAAGCGCCAAAGGGTGACAAGAAATGTTTCTACAGGTACATAAGCAGCAAAAAAGCAGCCTACGGAAAATGTGGGCCCACTGCTGAGTGGAACAGGGACCCTGGTGGCAAAAGACCCGCAAAAGACTGAGGTAGTCATTGTCTTCTTTGCCTTGATCTTTACTGGTAAGACTGGCCTTCAGGAATCCCAGGCCCCTGAAACTGGTGAGGAAAGGAAACTTACTCTTGGTGGAGGAGGATCTGGTTAGGGAACAATTAAACAAATTGGACATACCTAAGTCCATGGGACTTGACAGGATGCACCCAAAAGTTCTGAGGGAGCTGGCTGGTGTCATTGTGAGGCCACTCTCAATTATTTTTGAAGGGTTGTGGTGATCTGGAGAGGATCTTAAGAACTGGAAGAAAACAAATGTCAGTCCAATAAGGGCAACTAGAAAGACCCAGGGAGCAGTAGGCTGGTCAGCCTCATCTCAGTCCCTGGGAAGGTGATGGAGCAAATAATCCTGGAAAACATTTTCAAACGTATGAAGGAGAAGAAAGTGATCAGGAGTAGTTAGCATAGATTTATGAAGGGGTATCACATCCCAGTTTCTCAGGACGATGACTCAGGTTTGCTGATTCCCAGGTCAGGATTAAGGTGAAACAACACCAGGGATCCTTTAACTGACAAAACTCAACTTTTATTCACTCACAACAGGAATCGGCATGCTCACCACCAAAATTGGTATGCTCACAATAAAAATTGGTATGCTCACAGCAGAAATTGGCACGAAAATATTGTCAGTAAGCTGTGTAACGTGCTAACCATGCATCAGCAAACATATATTACAGCCCTTGCTTATCTGGGAATCAGTTCAGGGAAGACAATAAGGAAAGCCCTCCCATTGAGTCACGAGGTTCAGAGCAGACCCCCTTGCTTTCTAGACTTCTTCTCAGAGAGGAGCCCAGGGGCAGCTGGATCCACTCTTAGTCCCAGACTTGGTCAATGGTTTATGTCTAAAGGGATGAGGTGTAGGGATTATGGAAAAGGAAAAGGGAAAGAGAGAGAGGAGAAAGATTTCACCGGTCCTGGGTCCAGCTTTGGTCCAGTCAGCCAAGGGGTCCTGTTCCAGTGGGCTTGTGCCCATGGGGCTTCAGTTTGTGTCCTTTTATCACCCTTGCCTCTCCTTTGGGCAGGCATTAAGCTAATTAGGTGTCATGAGGGGTTTGTGAGCCTTTGGGCTTGGGGGTCATTTGGGAAGGAACTTCTCCTTCCCTGCATGGTGATCTGCCCTGTTCAGCACATCAGAACAGGGAGCTGTGCACCCTCCAGCACACCCTCCCCCTCCTGCTGCTGATGGGTGCTGATCTGCTTCTTTTCACCTCGGGTTCCTCGCTAGGCAGAGTTCCTTGTTATCCAGTTAGTCGTTCAGCAGAACTTGCCCCACCACAATGTTTGAGACATTAAATCTTTCAGTCTCTCACAAGGGGAAATCATGCCTGACCAATCTGATGTTGCTTATCTTGACTTTAACAAGACTTTTGGCACTGTCTTCTATAACCTCCTCATAGACAAACTGATGAAATACAGACTAGATAAATGTATGTTACAATGGACTGAAAACTGGCTGAACTGCTGGGCTCAAAGGGTTGTGATCAGTGGCACAAGGTCCAGCTAGAGGCCAGTCATTAGTGGTGCATGCCAGCGTTTGGTAAGGGGGCCAAAAATATTTAACATGTTAATTAATGACCAGAGTGATGGGGTAGAACACACCCTCAACAAAACTGGAGAAGATACAGAACTAGGAGGAGTGGTTGATACGCCAGAGGGTCATGCTGTCATCCAGAGGGACCTCAACAGGTTGGAAAAATGGACTGACAAGAACCTCATGAAGTTCAACAAGGGCAAGTGCAAAGTCCTGCACCTGGGGAGGAATAACCCCATGTATCAGTACCTGTTGGGGGCTGACCAGCTGCAAAGCAGCTTGGCAGAAAAGGCCCTGGGAGTCCTGGTGGACACCAAGGTGACCGTGATCCAGCGATGTGCCCTTCCAGCAAAAAAGGCCAACAGCTTCCTGGGCTACATTAGGAGAAGTGTTGCCACCATATCAAGGGAGGTGATCCTTCCCCTTGATTCAGCACTGGTGAGGCCACATGTGGAATATTGTGTCCAGTTCTGGGCTCCTCAGTACAATAGAGACATGGACATATGGGAGACAGTCCAACAAAAGGCCACAAAGATGATTAAGGGTCTGGAGCATCTCTCCTATGAGGAAAGTCTGGGAGAGCTGAAAGAAGGAATTTATGGAGGATTGCCTTCGAAAAATGAATGGCTGTCCTGGCTATGTTGAAGCCCAGCATCACAGAGTCTGCGAGAGATTTTCATAAGTTGGCAAAGACACAACACAAAGTCCTCACCCTAGCAGACTTTTGCTTCAGTCTCATGAGAGCAGGGCTACTGGATTTTTACAAAGCAGCAACTGCTAGGAGTTTTCTAAAATGGGCAAAAAAAAAATCCAAGTCTTATTATAAAAAGTGACTGAGGCATTTTAGCTGCCTTTCCACTTGGTAAATTCATAATCTTACAGATATATATGCAATATGTGTACACACACATGAACTCATACAAATATTACATATAAATGGGTGGATACACATTCAGGTGTATTAGGTAGAGATCTAATACATAAAATTTCAATCCCAGCAGTTTAAATTTGACACATTTACAAGCAAACAAAATGGGTTCAAATCATAAGAGAGTTTGAGAAACATTTTTAAGTAGGAATCTACGAGCCCTGGGTGCATAACTTTTATTTTCTGGAATATTTGATTTCTTTGTTATATTTCTACCACTCATTTATTCTGCATTGTAATCCTTAGGTAGAAAAATGTATGACAAAGTGCTTTTTTAAGCGCTCATCTGTTTGATGAGTTGTAAGGGAAATTTTCATTAGGAAGGGAATTCCTAAAAAAAAGTGTAATGTGCTTTAAATAGGGAATTGCATATTGAGGCTGTTCCTGTTGCCTGCTCCATACTCACATGAAACACCCACTGAGTCTGGTCATTATAGAAGAGAAGCACATAAGTATGTGTGGAGAATAAACTACCCAGGGAATGACAAATAGACAATCCCACTAAATAGAGATATGAAGCATGTCTGTCTTTATACATGTATCAGGGTGTGTGTTTGCTTGGAGAAGAAAAAGTAGTAATGTGGAATTATTATGTTGTTTTACCACTGTTTATAGAGATCAGTGATGATACAACCTTAAGCAAAATTATCAAAAACAAATAACAATGATGATCCTTGCTAGTATCAAGACTGTATTACAGGAACATACACAGGGAAATATGGAATTGTATCGGGGTAGCAGGGACAGCAACTGACTACTCTTTTTCAGATATTCCCCAGACATGTTACTTTATCAATGTTCATCTAAATGTTGTTTCCTTCCCCAGGAATTGCAGGTCCCCACTTAAAAGCAGACCAGACTTCACTTCATGGTAAAATGGAAAGTTCTGCCTGTAACATGATGACCCGAAGGAAACCAGCAGCTGTTGACAGTGTTGCAATGCCGACTCCAGTATTATCTCTCCTACCTTCATCAGCAGCAACATCTGAAGCAGGTAATGTTGTTTCCCTCCATCCCCTCTATTTCTTCCCCATCTTCTTCCTTCTGGCACTGCACTGAACAATATGTGCTAGTACTGCTCTTCCTGATTGCAGAAGTAGCTGCAAATGTGCATATCTAATGTGATAATCAGGCTGTAATTTTTCTAACACATTCTTATCATGATCATATCTTGGCATATCAAATCTATTTTATTCACATACCACTACTTGTGCAATAATGAGGACACAAGTAGCACCAGCCCGTATGGTCTAGCGGGGGACTCTGAAGCAAGACTCTTGGGTTCCTTTCTCAGCCCCGTTGTTCATTTATTTGAATGTTCCCATCCCTGTAGCATGAACATGCCGAATACACAGTGAATAGCTAAGGAGCAGCTGAGATTTCTTTCTGCATACTTCATTGATTTTAGCATAATATTCTGTCTTGCAAATGTGAAATTGTCTGGGGCAATGAACAGTGATTTAAAATATATCAGAATAAATAAGTCAGAATAACATGTTTTTCAATCAACTTATATTTTGTGCTTCTATTTTGAATCCGATCAGAAAGGTAATAACTTTATACAGTCAGAAATTGAGCCAAGTCATTCAGGCATCATCATGCCTTTTCTTGGGCATGGATAGAGAAGTTAATCTTGCATTGTGTCTTAATTTCCAGTGAATGGGGAACCCACAGTACATTACCCTACATGCAGCCATTAGGAGTTTCACAGTCTTGTCAAACCTTTGATTCCACATTCACAAAAAATGCATTCGTATTACTGAGTTATGGAATGATTACACATTTAATTATTCAATTGAAAGTGCTGTTTCAGTGCACTCCTTTTGATTTTCCTCTCATTTCCTGAATAAATAGTGAAAACAAGGGTCCATGCTGTAAAGTAGCCCCTGTAAAGATGAATTTTTATATTAAAAAATCAGGATTCTCTGTTTAGTCTTTAATACTTTCCTATATATAAACTGAGGACAGATTTTTAATGCAGCGGAGAATGAAAGCACACAAATATTTTATGATCAGTTTCAAGATGAAAGTGTATGCTTGACTGCATAGTTCATTCTTTCCATTTTCAGAAGTCTAATTAAATTGTTGGTTTATCTGTAGCCCAGATGTTGAAATAATTTAGTTGAAAACTGAAAGAAACTGTGTTAATGGGAAAACAGGACAGTGCTATGGGTTTCCTGTAATTAATAGGGAGCTCTTTGAAAATTCCTCCATTCAAACCAAGTCGACAAACTGAGCCCAGCTGTTGATCAAACAGTCTGTGCCATGTTCTTGCAAGTGGCCTCGGGCAACTCTGAAGGGATGGAGAATGACAGGCAGTAAGAAGGATTTTAGAGCTGCAGACATAACAAAGCCATTCAGGATAAAGTTAAGGGACTGATGGAGAACTTCCAAGGAGTCTCATCTACCTGGGCTCACCTCCTTGTTCAGTACTTCTGTGCTGGAGTGGGTCCTCCAGCCTGCTCTAAGCTACCCTTGGAAATGTATATTTTTGGTAGAGATTTCTCTCTTTGCCTCAGAAGCTATTTCCAGCATCATACCAATCCTACATGACTTCCCAGCATGGCCTGCGGCCATTTCAATTTGTCTTTGTGAGACAGAGCCTCACTGCATCTGTGTACCCTGGGGAGGGGAGAAACACTGGGCCTCTATGTGCCTTGTTTTAAATGTGCAAAGCTGTGTTTTAAGACTAATGTTGGTTCTTGCTTGTTTGGGGCAGCTAGGTGAGTTTGTTTGGAGAGTGGGAAAAGGATGAAGGAAAAGTACAAGCGCCTGTGCTGTGTCAAGTATTTCTAGTTTCTCTTCACTTTGGGCTAGATTTTGCCAAATAGCTTCAGGCTTTCACGGAGGTGGCAAGTGGCCATACAGCCTGCGGAGGTGTAAGGACATAACTGTGCCCAGGCAAAAAAGCGTCCCCCCATGCATCCCCAGCACCCAGAGGTTGCCACCACATTGTATCATCTCTGTAGGAGCATATTCCCTTTTTCCTATGCCTGCGTGCAGACATAGTGTTACTATCCCCCACCTCCTCTTCAACCCCTTCTAGACGAATTCCACCAGATAGAGTAAGACGAAGGTCTTCCTCCCAGTGCAAGATTTCCATGTGCAAACAGCAAAGTATGTGCAGGAAGAGAACAACAAAGCCTAAAACCAATGCAGACCAACTTGGGTCCAGGGTTGGGCAGGGTCTGTCTGGATAAACTGGAAAAGATTAGTACTTAGCTTTGGTTTTCAGCAGAGCAGTATATCACATGGCAATATAGGAAAATATTTTATATCAAAGATTGCTCACCAAGAGCTTCCAGATGAGTTGATAACACCTAATGGCTCTCACTTTAATAGTGGTTTATTTTGGCAGATCTGCCTGATATTTTGTCATATGCACACCTCATCAAATCTTCCCCCTGCAGACCCATCAGACTCTTTTCCGCATAGTCTCCCTACACCAAATGTAGAATCAGATGTCCCTGACTCTTAATAGTCAAAATAATATTGGGTTTCCTAATATCTCCTTTAAAAAGCCTGACTTGAAAGCATATTACTTATTCAGTACATGCATTCTGACTATTGGCAGACTATGTAACACAATTAAAATACTTTCTGGAGCTTGCAAGTTCAGAGGCTTGCTAGGAAGAAAAGAAAAAGCGTTATTAGTAGCTTCTAACAAGCTTCCTGAGAAAGTCATAAACACCCCAAAGCATTTATACAAGAAAAATTAGTGCAGTAAGCCAGCATACAACAGCGCAGAAGTTTTTTTTCCTAAGTGAGAAAATGAGTTTCAGTCTAAAAGGAAACGGACTGTCAACTTACAAAGTTTTAGGAGGGCAAAAAAATATCTAAATGACGTGATGGAAGACACCAAGGGTGGTGTACAGCTTATCGATTTACATGTAAGTGTAGGTATCTACCCACAATTGTCTGCATATCAGTTAATTATGGAGAACTAGGCAGTTTGGCAGAAAGCAGATGCCTACCTTTGCTCCACTCAGGCACTGTCTACTCACCGTCAGGCTCCACTTAGGACACTCAGCCTGGGTGACCTGGATCTCTTGGGTGCTTAAGAAACAGGATTTGGTTTCGGTAGGATGGACAGGAGACCTGCCCCTTCCTTACCCAGTATCAGGGTGTCAGAAGATGTCCATGGTCACCTTCAATTGCATTGAGTTCCCATTTTAGAAATGGAGGTCATCCTCTACCAACTATACAGACCAGATCTCCATTGACTGCAATGGGGTGGTAATACTAAGCTGCAGAAACAACCGACTACAGACAAATCTCAGTAAAGACATAAAATCTTTGCAGATACTTGGCTAATGCTTCATTTCAAATTTGTTTCCTGTCCTTTGGCTTACTTTCTTTCCAATGAAAGTTAAGAGCAATGCCAAATCTCCTGATTTCACCATGAACCTTGCAATTTTTCCTGTATTTCTGCTAAATTTCCCATCTTCAAGTTTTCCATCATCAACTGAAAAATTTCAGCTTTACTTTCTGGAAAAAAAATTGCATCTTCTATATGGGAATTTTCAATATGGGATTTTAAAAAAAAAAGTCTTGAAAATGTGCCCTGACGATAGCAATAAAAGGCAAAATGTGGACACCAAATACGAAGTGTGCCAAGTGTTTGATTTCTTAAATCTTTTGACCTGAAGCTACTCTCAGGACCTGGGAAGGACTCAGAGTCAAATGCTTAGGGCTGGAAATTTTGGGACTATATATGTCAATCACCAGAGAGGCCAGATGAGAATAATCATTTTGTGTGACAGGGATTTAACCTTTTTTTGATCAGATGGCTGAGAAATAGCTCACTGCCACTTGTCCTTAGGGCTCTTGCATCCACACGTTTTAGGGGTGACCTACTTGAGAGGAATTTTGTGCAACTAATTAGCTTCTCCTGAGCAACTTGGCTATTTCATTTTCTTTTTCTTTGGTACCAAAATGACTGCATTCCTGTTTTCTTTTGTCCTCTGTGAATCACAAACTACAAGTGGGTTTTATTTTTCTTTTTGGTGTGGGGAGTGGGTTACATATGGAAAATGTATTTTGTTTTGTAATTAATGAAAACCAGACTTTGGGACGTTGGCCATCCAGGTCTTTATTTATAAGAGAGCATATGTCTGTGTTTTGTTTATGACTCACTCCTACTTCTTGCATTGTAACTTGGGTTTGTTTACGCAAGCTCTTTGCTGAATCCAAGCAACATGGTGGTATAAGAGCCAATAATTTATGTTCTCCAAGAGGGGAGGCCAGTGAGTGAGGTTTGTATGCTGAATCTGTCATAGCCCATAGCGAGCAAGAGGACATTCTACCACTTGATGGCTCCTGGTTATCTACAGAAAATGCTACAATAGCAACTTTATTTAAACTGCTGCTAGAAGATTAGCCTGTTAGCCATGAAGGGAGTGATAACCCCCAAATGAACCTTTCTCGAAATCTTGGCTGCTCTGGAAACTTCAAGGATTTCAAACCCAAATGACTGCTTGACAGTCAGGTGTAAATTAAGTTTGCAAGTAGATGTGGTCTGAGGTTAATTTAGCGGGATGTTTTATTCTTTACTGAAAAGAAATTCTGTACTCCATCATTTCTTTTCCAGCAGCGCAGAACGGATATGTCAGGAGTGAAAGGGAGCACCAGTTATTGCAATAGCAGAATTAATACATTCTGTTTCTCCCGCAAAGGGGTAGTTACTTTTAATCTGTGTGCAAATCCTGAACTCTGAGCAGATGCCATGGTCAGTAAAGGACAATGAGACAATTTAAGAAAAACTAGCAAGGTCTCGTGTCCTAAGCAAAGGACCAGGAGCCAAGAAATGCTGGGTACTCTTTCCAGCTCTGACAATGACTCACAACGTGACCTTGGCAAGAGACTTAACTACTTTGGACTTCATTCAGACCTAAAGTAAGTGATCTGAACCAGGAGTAACCTTACTTCGGGGGCCATTAAAGTCAATTATATGACTGAGTAGTTTCAGCTAGTATCTGCGGAGATGATAGTAAAGAAACCCAGGCAGGGGTAATGGGTTTGCCACAGGTGAAGTGAATCACACAGCTTGTCTGTGCCCACTGGTTTCAGTAACAAACACTTTTCATACTACCTGGCAAGAATTACAGGGCGGGATGAAGACATCGGCAGTGTATGTTTGGGGTATAGAAAGTTTGATAGTTACAGTGGCCCAACATGACAGCTATGCTAAGCAGCCCTTCCTTTCCTCCCACTAGAAGCTGAGAAATGAGAATGAAGCAAACCCACGGTAAAACATTGCTGTAGAAAAGCTTTGCTCCTTTAGAAGAGAGGATAGAAGGAGAGAAATCTCTGAAGACTGCTTAATAGTCAAAGTTGTGTTTTCATCTAGGACAGTAAAAAAGGAGGTAACAGCAATTCTTCTGGGACTGTAATAAATAATCTTTTAACTTTTTTTTTAGTTGCTTTTCTATGCAGAGTCCTTTCTCACAGCCATCACTTCTTCAGTAGTCATATTGAGCCTACTGGGCTTGCGAATATCTAGTGTTCGTGATGCTGAAAGCTGGCAAAGGAGAGTTTCCATTCACTGTTGCTTGACCTACCCCGTTCTCTCCTTGTGTCCCAACAGCCAGCCCACCACTGAAAAAAAGGTTCAAGCGCCGTGAAATTGAAGCAATCCAGTGCGAGGTGCGCAAGATGTGCAACTATACCAAGATCCTGTCCACAAAGAAGAACCTGGATCACGTGAACAAGATCCTGAAAGCCAAGCGGCTGCAGAGACAATCAAAGACAGGCAATAACTTCGTCAAGAAGCGGAGGGGGCGTCCTCGGAAGCAACCCCTTTCCTTCGACGAAGACTCCAGAGACCAAATGCCCGTTCTGGAAAAATGCATTGACCTTCCCAGCAAAAGAGGTCAGAGACCGACACTCAACCCTTTGATATTGGAGCAAGCAGCCACTCAAGATACAATCATGGCCACCATCGAGGCTGTTATACACATGGCTCGAGAGACGCCACCCCCGCCGCCTCCTCTCCCTCCTCCCCCCCCTCCACCCCCTCTCCCTCCACCCCGGACCCCCCGGGTCGGAAAAAGGAAAAGCAAGTCCCCACAGGAGGAAGAGGAGGACGTGAAAGTGAAGAGGCACCGGAAAGGTAGAGGGAGCGAAAGCGAAGGCCTTCCCTAAGGCCAGCGCACCTCATCGGACGTCGGGTGCCAGTAGTGGGGCACACCGGGACTGAGGGACTGGAGGCGCGTGGTCCGCTTCGCCCCCGCGGCAGCACCAGACTCACTCGTCCCTTCGGCGGCCGGAACCTGTCATGTAGAGCTGTGCCAGCCGGGGTTCACATCTTCCTCTTCATCGCTTTGGCCCCAGCCCCCCCCCAGGAAAGAGGGGGAGAGGGTGCGGGAAAGGTTGGGGGGGGAGGTAAGGGGGGCGGGGTGTGTGTGTCAAAATTGGGGAGAGCGTCTACTTTGCAGAGTTTCCAAAACTAATCAGCATCTCAGCATTGCTGTTCTCATACCGTACCCGGAGGCGGGAGGTCGTCCTCGCAGAGAGCTGAACATTGTCACTAGGGCTGCATGCTCGACTCCAATTCTGTTTGGCGGGCCAGGTGAAACTAAGAGTAACAATACCATAGTAGAAATCACTGTAAAAAAGAAAAAAAAGAAACAAAAAAAAACCCAACAAAAAAATAGTGTAATTTTCTCAACTGTGATCTTGGTTATAATCTGTTTGAATTTTTTTTTTTTTTTCCAGTTTTATATACCTACCAGGCTTTGGGGCAGCATAACCCAAAATGCCTGACTCCTGCTAGAACTATATATTTCTTTCTCATTTACTTGCCTAGTTACAACTAGCTGCAATATAGGCAATAGAAAAGTAGAGCCTTACACGCGTGCACACTCATTCCGAGTGCTATCCCAAGGAACACCGGAATATCACAGAATTTAAAATAAGGTGTACATGGATATTCAGTTATGATAGCACGTTTCTATGAAGCAACTTGGCATTTTCAATGGCATGTGAAAAAGGGGTCATCCGTCAACCAAGTTGTTTTGATGCTCGGTACATGTGAGTAGAGAACAGCAAGACACTTCTGGGGAATAGAGTTATAATAAACATGGACAAAATCACCAAAAAAAGAATATAAAAAAGATAAATGAAAAAAAATAGGACAGAAAAAATAGAGTAAAAAGACAGGGCCCAAACCTACCAGTTCTTACCACCTGCAATTCCCAGTGAAATTGATGGGAAACCCAGGATCTGAATACTTTGCATTGGGTAGCAATGCCTTGATATGTTCTTTTAAAGAAAATAGATAAAGTAGATTGTTTTAAAAAAATAGAGAAAAAAACCCTATGGAAAATAGGTTCTTTCTTGGCAATTATTTCTTAAAAAAGAAAAGGAATAAGTGTTCTTATCTGAAAATAAAAATAAAAATGTTCAAAGGGTATCACCACTGCAATTGTATTAATGCCACTTTGGACATGTTCTCCAAGTTGTGGTTGCCTTAATAAACTAAAAAAAAATTTTTTTTTGTACATAATGTAATTATAAAGCTCTCAGTCTGCATGGATGCAAACTGTGTGTGACAAATCGTCTCTTTAAATGGTCAGTTCAAATTGTACATTTCTCATTCGAGTTGTACGTTAGCCATTGATTTAACTTGGGTAAAATACCCAAGCTCCATTTCCACAGCCCAATTAAAATGTTTAACTAAAACAAAGACTGAACGTGAAACTCTTCCATTGCAGTAACAATGCTTTTAAAAAAAGAAGTCAGTTGTTGAAATTTGAAATAGGTACTTTCAACTTTATTTCATTTCTTTTTAAAGTCCTTCAGTATACTCAACACCTGGCATGGCAAGATGGATATTAAAATGGGAGGGGGGAGGGAAAATTCCAGCAAGGGAGAGGGGATTGGAATTATTTAATGATTCACAAGCCAACTGCTTTTCCCTTTTTTGAGAAATCTTTGAACTGGCTTATTGCCAAGAAAACTTCAAATAGCACGACACTAAAAACAAACAAACAAACAAACAACAAACCTAACAAAAAGTCCCCACAAAAAAAATATTGTGTTTCTATTCTGTTATTTATTTACAAAAATCATATCAAGACTATGGTGTTAAAGGGACACTATAAACATACAGCTCATTATTTTTAGAGACTGATTTTTCTTCTGTGATAGCACCTTAGCTTATTAAAACTGAATGCATTTGGGGTTTGGATTGGGTTGGGGGGCTGGGAGAGGGGATTTTTTTTATTTTATTTTTAAAGGCTGGAACAAATCTTGAGATCCTATCTCCTTAAAACTGATAAGAGGGATCGCAGAATTTTGTTTCCAATTTGTTTTGCATCATTCATCATACTCATCTGTGCTTTTTGTTTTCCAATTAATGCAGCTTAGAAATAAACTGGCCGGTTGCTCATTCTGTTACAACCAATTTTGCCTTTCAGTTCTCTTGAATTAGCTCAGTGTTATTGACTGAAGTTGTAGGCCTGCAGAAAAAAAAAAATGCTTAAGCCTCCTCGAGCTCCTCCCTTCTTCCTTAAAAAGCATTGGACTGAGGTTTAGTGGATTCAGAAATCTTTTTTTTCTCTCTCTCCTTTGGGCCTGAAAGTAGGTGACAGTGTTGCTTAAAAAGCAAGAAAAACTGTAAGTTTGGTATTCCAGGGAGCCTATAAGCTGAAACTAAGCCAGACAACAACTTATCCTTAGTTTTATCTTCAGTGATCTCTTCGTTAGCACTGAAGGACATTTCACTGGGTAGTGAGTGGAGCAAAGGTCTGAAAGGACCAAATTCTGTCAACTGAACACCCATCGTGTCTTCAAGAAGTGTCAGACCTTACGGAGTGCCCATAAGGGCTGGATTTGGGCTGGACCTTTCTGGATGCACTGGGCTGCAACCACCCCAGGGAAAAATCACTGAATGGCTGCTGCCTCCCATGCCTCTGAGCTTTGGGAAAAAAAAATACTCTTCTCCTTCCAAAAAGTGCTACCCAAAACGCTGCTAGAGGCAGAGCGCTTAAGAAAAGCATCCACTCTGAGAGTACGACCCCATATACCCTCACTGAGCAAAAAAATTAAGAGGTCCTTTGGGCCTAGAGAAACTAAGGGTAGCATTCAAGACTTGGTAGCTGCAAGCTGTCAGCATAGGATGGGCTCTATCCAGACACCCAAGGTTTGGGTTTTTGTTGCAAGACAGTGCTGGTAGAGCAGGTAGCCTTGGCTGTTTGTCCAAACAACAGCCCGGTGCAGCCGGTCCTGGCTGGCAGGAAGATGAGCTTGTTAATTTGTATGAAAGCAGGCTGAAAATACTGTTAGATGGCACTCAGAATTTGTGTTCTGCATGTTGCATAGTCTATAAATATGATAAGCAAGTTGCTGACAGAATAATATTATAAGGCGATGTACTACATGCAGATCATAAAGGATTTAGTTTTAGGGCTTAAGGCTAAAATCCCACTCCTGCAGTTTATTACCCAACAATATTCTAGTAATGAGCTTTTTGATTTTTTTTTTTTCCCCTACCACTAGGAAGATTTACTGAGGAACTCTCTAAATTCTCTCCACACATTTCCAAGAACTGTATAAAACTGGGGTGAAAGCCCTTTTGCTTATTAAGACCAAAAAGACCTTTCAAACACCTCCGCTGTGTCACAGATTAACACACATCTTAGCATGCTTCAATAAAAAACACAAAACAAAATCACATGGCTGTGAGCCATATGAAATGAGGCCATGGGTTTGCATCCTCTCCGTGGGTCTTATATTCCTCAACCCAGCGTAAAACCAGGAATGGGGAAAAGCGTGCGGGGAGAGAGGAATAAAAAACAACCACTTGTGTCTCCAAGAGCTTCATACTGCCAGTTTCTTGAGCCCTTCAATATTAAATTTTCTGTGAAGCACCTTGCATGTTTTTGGGTAACTGTCAAAAAAAAAAAAAAAAAAAAAAAAAAAAAAAAAAAAAAAAAAAAAAAAAGAAAAAAAAAGAAAAAAAAAGTGATAACAGTCATCAGCTACTAGGGTATCCTACAGCATGGCCCATGACTCTCCACTTGACAGCAATGCTTTGGACCATTCGTGTAGAATATTCTGTTTGTGTTGTTACATTTTTTGGGTAGCGTCTGGTACAATGAGGTGCTGGTTCGTCACTGGGGCTTCTGAGCACTACAGCAATACGACGAATAAACAGGAATCGCTGTTCCATACACAAGGATTTCCCCAACTCTTATTTTCACAGGCCCTGATTCAGGACTGCACTTAAGCACATTTAAGTAGCATCCTGAAGAGTAAAAAGAACACCAAAAAAAAGACAGGAAAAGAAAAAAAAAAAAAAAAACAAAATAAAACAAGATGGTTTTCTGAATTGAGAAAACAAACATCATGCCCTTGCAATGCCTCTTCCTTCCATATCATCCAAAAACTGGGGTGCAGCAGTTCTGAGATAATTAGAAGCACATTTCAACAAAGGACACATATTTGAGATCTCCTTAAGATGCCTGCCTAGGTTGTATAAAACACTACGTAGAAAAAAAAAGAAAAAGAAAAAAAAATGTAAAAACATGAAAAGAGCTGCCAATTGGACAACATGGGGAAGCAGTTCAATCCCATGTTGGTTTGTTTTACTTTTCTTTTTCTTTATTTTTTTAAGCTATTTCTTAAATAATAAATGCACATGAAGTGTTAAATATGTATATACTGTATTTCAAAAAAAATTAAAAAAAATCAAACGAATGGGGCACAAGATTGTTCTATAAGTCGTGCTGGCTAATTTTTAGTTTGTATTCATAAGTGGTTTTTAAAAGCCTTTTTTAAAGTGTAATTTGCATGTTCTACTTTGATTGTATGTAAACATATTTTAGAGCAAAAAAATGTATTTGTATTTTATTGAATATAGAGGCAAGAAAAAAAACTTGTACATTGTTTGAAATGTTCTTTTTGTAACAGTTTTTATTCATGAAGCATTTTTGTACATTTAAAAATGGATATGGACTTGATGTTCTTTGAGGCTTAGATACATCTGGCATGCTTTAATGTCATGCTCCTTCATGATCTTAGATGTTGGTTTTTAAACATTTTTTTCTAAAACAAAGCTCAGTCTTTTCGCTACCAAATCAGGTTAGCACAGTATAGAGCACTTAACTAAAAAAAAAAAAGAAAAAAAAAAGTTAATCCTA